ATTCATCTTTAGTCCCTAAACTATTAGATTATTTATAAGTTTAGTCCTTAAAGTTCAACTATAAATATGCCTAAACAATTCCATTTGAAATCGTCCTAATAAGTTCTCTCTCCCATTTGTTTTCTTCATTCTCCCATTTTATAATATTTTGGGAATTCTTAGGAATTCTATTTGTTGTAATATTTTGTTCGATAGTGAAGTTATCATCCGTTGATGGTGTCCGAGGAGTAGACGATATTTTCGTTGAACCTCGTAAATTTAATGTGTTCTCTCCATTATTTTTCTTTATTGGATTTTTCCATTGTATTTCAATACTCAATAGTTCAACGGGTTCTTCCGCGGTGCAATTTTAATAGTTTTGATCTTGACATTTTAGGTCAATTTTAAAACTACGTTTGTTTGGAAACATTCCCAACACAAACTGCGCCAATCTCTTTCGAAGCTTAAATTCCTCCTGCAATAGCATTTTCTCAAACATTTTCTTCATTTGAGTGCACGTGCCTTCTAGTTCATTTACTAAGTCCATACGCAGCAGTTCCAATGAACTTTCAGTCGTGGATTCAAACTTCACGAATCTATCCGAAGCTTATACTTCCTCCTCCAATTGCAAAATCACACTGTCATCATCCGAGACCGAGTATGTGCGGCTATAATCAGAGCAATCTGGAATTCATTATCAAACGGGAAAACAATAAAATAAGAAACAGTACAGCAAGAAGGGAACAGATAAGGTAGATAGATTTTAGTTTTAGAGAAGAAAATGGAGGCTTTTTAGTCCATTCCATGGTCCATCTGACATATCCTTAAGCTAGTGCCATAACAGTCTACAACAACATTACTACAAGCAACATAAGTACAGCCAAAAGCAAAGATTTGTCGGATTGAAGTAAAAAAAAAAATAAGAGAACGAGGGATGGAGAGATTCATTTCATTTTACATTCAAGGAGCTATTGCCATTTAAAATTACATAAGGAACATTGAACAACTATTTAACAAAAACTACTTGTAAGGATCAGTTACCAATATTTGACAGTAAAGATTAACTATATAGCCAGGTCAGAAATACCTGACATTGAAGATGGTCGAGAATCGATAAAATGATGAGTATAGGGTCAGGGTTTTGGACCAAACTCCTCGTATCTCTCTGTCTCTCGGTGTAATAATAGGGAAGGAGACGTGTTTATTTATAGACGGTACAGAAACATGCAAAAGACTCGAGGGGGGAACTCATTCAACCTTCCACCTTGGCTATTACGACTTACGAGGCGTCATTTAGTTCCTCTTATCCATTTATATTTAATATGTAATTGGACCTGCAATTGACTCTTAAGGTCTGTTCTTTTTGTTGTAATTAGTTTTTCGAAAAATGAATTATTAGAATTTGAATTACTGAAAAAAGAATTACTGAAATTTGAATTCTGAAAAATGAATTACATTTTTTGAAAACGTTTTCCGGAAAATATTTTCTGTAAAATGAATTACATTTTTCTGAAAAATATATGGAAAACATTTTATGATGTTTGAAAGATGTTATTTAAACCTTTTTTCTACTAGTTGAAGAGATTTTTAAAAATTATTTATTACAAATATTAAATATAATAAATAATATTATTTATCATAAAACTTTTTTATTATTAAAAATAATAATTTTTGTATATTTTAGTGAAATAAAATAGTATAAATATTATAAATTATTTATTAAAGTAATAGTGTTATATTATATTTTAAAAATATTAATTAGTATATTTTAAATATATTTATTAAAATATTATTTAAATATATAAATAATATTATTCATTATTAAATATATAATTTTTTTATATATTATTAAAATAAAATATAATATCTTATATTTTATAATATAATTGATTATTTTATATAATACTAAAATATATATTATATTATTAAAATTAATAAATAAATAATATTTGATGAAAATGATATTAAATATTTTATTAATATTAAATTCATAAAATAAAATTATTTGAATATTTATTCTTTGAAGTGAAAAGTTCGAAAAAATGACTTACGGAAATGAATCCGTAAGTCATTTTACAGAAAACACAAAAGAAATTCTATTACTAGGAAAATGAATTACATTCCGGAAAACTAATTACGTGAAACAAACACGGGAAAATATTTTCCGAAAAACGAATTACGTAAAACAAACACGGTAATTCGGGGAAACCAATTTCGTAATTCCAATTACGGCAAACAAACACACCCTTAGTTTAATCATATGGAGTACTTTTTATTAAGTTAACATTTAGTTCGGATAGATCTAAATACTTTTAATTATGTGATAATGAATTATTCTCTTGATGTAGTGTTGGTGTTCAAATTCGTAAATTTTTAAAACAATAATTATTCATTTAACCACTAAGATAACTTAATTTACAAAATCATATTGTATATTAACAAAGTAATTATATGAAAGACTTTATGATAAAGAGTAAAGAAAACACTCAATTTTATGTTACGGTCCATTTTTAAAATTTTAGGGTAAAATGATTTTATAAAATAATAAAAAAATAAATTATTTCACGTTATAGTATAATTAACGCACAAATGTTATGTAACCGAACGTCTAAACACCAGCAATGAAAATCGCCACTCTCAATATATAATATAAAGACATCATCATTTTGCAACTTTTAAAGCCTATGTCGGAATCCGAATTTTCCTCAAAATGGATCCGGATCCGAGTACTTACCCTCTCCTCTCTTACGTCATCTCCCACCTCGCTTCCGGCAAACCCTCCGCCGTCAATCCGCCACAAATCGTGAGCCAAATGCCCCACCTATCCCGTCCCAACGTCATCGCCTCAATGAAAGAGGCGGTCTCCGATGGGGCAAAAGCTCTTTCCTTTATCCAAAACCTAGGCCCACGACCCTACAAAGAGTTTATCGACAAGGCCCGATCCAAACTCGCGGAAATCGAATCCGGCCTCGCCGCATCATTGGAGGTATTGTTCTTGTGTCCTCGACCCGGCGAGGTGGATCTGCTCGAGTGGCGGGCCTTCTTGGCAGAGAACGTCCTCAACTTTTGATTTTGCAATTGAATGGGATGCACGAGGCGTACGCGAAACTCCTCAAGGAAGCGGAAGAGAGGTTGGTTAAGATCTACGAGGATGTGGCGGAGAATTCCGATGAAGCTAATGCGGAGCTCGCTAGAATATTGCAGTGAGCGGAAGAGAATCCACCGGAAATATTAGATCTATCCGAATGGTAGCTCCGATCTCTGCCGCCAGAGTTTGGGAATATTAATAGCTTGTTTTTGCTTAATCTTTCCTCTAATGAGCTTAAGGTATATGTTCCATTCTTTCTGTATGAACTTTCCTTTCTTCTGACTCACCTATTCTGAGCAAACAGATTATTCCCGAGTCGATCGCTAGATTAGAAAAACTGGAAGAGCTTAATCTTCTTCAATCTTCTGGAATCACTAGCGGACCCGATTGGAATGCTTCGTAACTTGAAAATCTTGACGTTCTGGAAATAAATGAATGCATTACCAGATACCGTTTGTCTTTGCAGGTAATTTTAATTCTATTGTTAAAACTTAAAATCAAACATTGTTTTTTTATCATTATCTGAAATTCGATCATCATCATCATGAATCCAGATCGTGATAGAATTAGATCTGACTTCAATTCCCTGTCATGCTTACCAACTCATCTCGGCAGATATAGGCAATCTACGGAGGCTTTCGATTCATTTGAACAAGATCCGATCCCTGCCGGCTTCCGTCGGTGATATGAGTGCCCTGTGTTTCCTCGATGCTCGCATGAATGAACTTTCTGGCCTTCCCCATTAGATCGGGAGATTGACGAATCTTGAGATCCTCAATTTGAGCAGTAATTTCACTAATTTGACGCAACTTCCAAACACGATCGGCGGATTGATCAACCTTAAAGATCTTGATCTCAGCCACAACCAGATTCAGACCCTCCCCTACACATTCGGCCGTCTCGACAAGCTAACGAAACTCAATCTGGAACCACAATCCTCTCGACGTTCCGCCTCCGGAAGTGATAAACGAAGGCGTCGAGGCGATCAAGACTTTCCTGCACGACTTACTTGTTCAGGAAGAAGGAAAGATCAGCCTAGAGGGAAATGATCAGACACAGGCCGGATGGTTGACGCGCGGTGGCTCGTGGTTGTTGAATTCGGCTTCGTTCGTCGACGGAAGCATCTCGGGCTACCTCATCTGCCATATCTTGAGGAAGCGCGGTGATTTCATCGGCCATATTTAATGTCAAGTAGAAAACAAATGTAAAAGTCCCATGATACTTTGATCAAATGAAACAAGAACAAGTGAAATAGTATATTTCTTTGGAGTCGGATTGATCTAAAATTTAACTTGATTTAGTCCGACCGTATCATCCTTAGATGTGAAGGGATGTGATGCGGGTAAATACAAAATAATATTTATTTTAAAATATTAAATGTTTATATCTTTAATATTTTTTATATTTGAACTCAATGTATTAAAAAATAATAATAATTTTTTATCGCTGAGATCGTTTAATATTTGTGTGACGGATAATTTCCTATTTCAAGCATTCAACGAGCAAGGAAAGTGGAAAAATAAATGCATGTAGTTGAGTATTTGGACTGCTTCAAAGGGTATAAATTGGGACAAATACTTTTCAAAGCCAACGTGATCGATTAGTTAAGTTAGTCCAATAAGAAATTTATTTCCAACTTCTAATCCATAAAATTACTTCAGATCCATATTTAATACATAATTTAACAACAAAACGAAAAGAACATTGAACACCATGATTTCCCGTTATACACGCCACCCACAATCATTCCCCATGTCTCCAAAGTCAAATTGCCATTTTATCTACCGACTTCCATTATTATAATCATATTTGATCATCCTATAGTGGTCTAGTTATGATTTTAGTCCTTAAATTTCATCACAACGAAGGGACTAAAGCCATAATTAAAATTTCTTTGTGCTACTACCCCACAGTTTATAACTATTCTTTTTTTCTTCCCTTACCTTTCAACAAGATCAAAAGAAAACTCAACTACAAAAACAGACGCCTCCACCAGACCACCAATTTGTTAAAGAATTCTCTCTTCTTAGTTTTCCAGCGAACTTCGATGGAAGATTACAGCAGATCAAGATCGTATGGTAGTGGGATGATGCAGCTGGAAACCTACCAGGAGGCACCACCACCAAGGCCAGGTTCCTATGAGCTCAGGTCCTATAGTGTTTCCTATGCACAATCCCAGATGGCGGCTAACAGCTACAATAATATGGGAAACAGCAACAGGGACTTGAAGTTGAAGAAAGCGAAGAGCACTTCTGGTTCATCTTCTTCGAAATCATGGAGCTTTGCTGCTGACCCTGAGTTCCAAAGGAAGAAAAGGGTTGCTAGCTACAAGATGTATAGTGTTGAAGGTAAGGTCAAAGGGTCCTTGAGGAAGAGCTTTAGGTGGCTTAAAGATAGGTACACACAAGTTGTCTATGGCTGGTGGTAATTGTTGCCGTTTGGTTGAATCCTTTTTCTTTTTATGTTTGTTTTATCTTGCTTGTATCCAAGGTAGTTGTGGAAAAAAAACAAAGTTTCAGTTTTTGAAGGAGGATTGATGCGGTTGGTTAATTCTGCTGTATTACCTGAGGAACCAAAAAGCTTTGTAGGTGTATCTTTGCAATGTTAAATCCTTTCAAATTCTTGATGTTCTTAGTTTATTGTAGTCTTTATTCACTGGGGGGGGGGAGGAGGTATTTGAGTAGCTTAGACAATAATAATAGTGAGCATTTGATGATGGATTTTGTTCCTACAGAATAAATCTCCCTTGAACCTTATTGATCTATTTGAACTTTTGGATTTTTTAGTGATAATGATATGTTGCATACATAAAGTGATAAATTACTTGTTTAAGTTCTGGTTAACATAAAGTGTTTAAGTTCTGATTAATATAAAGTGATAAACTACTTGTTCGTTTAAGTTCGGATTAACATAAGATTTTATGTTCGAGTCTCGAGATCAGAAAAAAACAGCCTATCTTATAGGGTACAGCGTTTACAAAAGTGTTGTGTAGGGATACTCCAATAGCCATCAATGTCAATAATGTTCATTGAATTTCTTCCATGGATGTGAAGGACATTTGTGTATGCCAATTATTCGCATTTAATGTTCTTGTTGCAGAAACCCTGTAGTACATATAGTTGATTTTTTTCTTTTAATTTTCACAATGATTTGTTCTATAATTTGTAAGATTGAATGTGCATTGAAGGCAACTTTTGATGGATAATACTGATGATTTTAGTTTCCCTCTCCTTGAAGAAATGCCTTATAAAGCAAGATTTTGCCTTTAAATACCTACAACTATCACCAAGATACCCAGGTAGTCTTTAAAGTTAACACAAATTCAGGTCCTTGATATCCCTAGCAAAGGCACGGTGGGGGGGGGGGTCGCACCGTACCTTATAGAAGACTCTGCAATAAACTTATTGCATCACAAAGTAGTTTTGTCTTCGAAATGCAGTAATAGTTTTAGTAATAGCTTAATATGACTGCAAAATGAGATCCAATGGAACTTGGTTGGCCATAAATCAGTGCATGTCTGTGAAAAACCAGCTAAGATGATTTTAATATAATCAAATCCCATTGTTACGGTGATAAAAGTACATGGTAAATGACCAACATGTGGCCCATTCCAAGAGAATTATGTCGTTCATAACTCAATGATTATGCATCACATCAGGAACAAAAGGAAGGTGAAACCTACCAGCAATGCTTCCATGTGCATTTAGTTGATTGGGATATTCGCCGAGTTGCTCCATCTTCCAGCTTTCGTGCGGAGCCACATTTTCTTGGCAAAGTTCGTATTGCTGCAAAAATTAAGTACAAATTTTAGATAATCGTAATCCAAGGCCTAGGCAGATAACTGTAACAAGTACGCCTTGTTTCGCTATGTGTTTCTCGGAAAGCTTCGATTTTTTTTATTGGCTGGCTAGCCATTTCTTTAATGATCTCCTCTAGTTTCTTCATTCAAATGATTTGAAAAGAAAGTTTAGATGAAGTTTGTACCTCCATCTTCTCTGTATGTTCTTTGGCTGTTGGAGCAGAGACTATTGTATGCCTAGCACCTGGCTTGATGAAACCCTCTTTAACGCCATTGTCGAATAATGCGAGCAAATTGTTGTAATAACCATCGACATTCAGCAAACCAACCTGCATCAAGATTAATATACACATAGTTATATTAATAAATATCAACGTAGCAAGCTTAATTCTTCGATCTTGAAGAATAATTCCTCACTGTTTTCTTATGTATTCCGAGTTAGGACCATGTTATCATCTCCAGCAACTTACATTGTTCCATATTCACCTAAAACACCAGATTTTAATGTCAGAAATAGTTTACATTATACTATTTAAAAACACGACTCTTTCACCAGTTTCCCTTTCCTAGTCTCTTGTATGGCAACAAAGGCATAGGAATTTCTACCAGGAAGAGCAACAAAGGCATCGGCTTCTCGGACCATTGCAGCTTTGCGCTCATGCATGTCTGAAACCGTTCTCACTTCACCAACTGTTTCTCCTGATATCTGTCAACATTATCTAGGATTATGCATTGAGAAACTCAGATTAAAGAAAGCATCGATCGACATTAAGATATCCCAACAAATTCTCGCACCAATGAGCAGCATCAAGCATTTGTAATGAACCGAATCCGGTGAGGTGAACGATAAAACTATATAAAACGAGACAATTGCACCCAATATTCAATAAACAATCTATATAATACATGGATGCAAGAACAGATACCTCAAGAGGCATGAGAGCTGTTGGAATTATCCTGCATGTAAAGAACAAATAGTTATACTTTGTGAAAAACAGCATTAAACATAGGCTCTTTAATGCAACTTTCTTACATACCCAAGAACATGACAGCCTCCATCATGTACTGTCTTGGATATCAAACCCATCAACCCAACACTTCCTCCCCCACAGACCAAGTCTATCTTCCTCTTAACCTATGATCAAAACACCAAAAATAAGCAAAAAGTAAACTCCACAAATTGTGGGTGGGGGGGGGGGGGGAAGAGTAAACAATAAGGCATAGAAATCAAGGTAAAGAAAACAAGAAAAAGACCCATTTTTCCCCAAATAACTCACTTGCATCAAAAACTTAATTTTTCAACTCATGGATATTACTCATGTACTGTCAAAGAACAAACCTCAATTCAGAACATAAAACACCAAATGTACAATTACACAATAAATAAATAAAATACAGTAAAAATTTGATCTTTTTCACTAGAAACCAATACTCAATTACCTAATACAATCACCCCAATTTCCATAAAAGACAAACACACACCTATGACCTACCGCTACATCAACAGAGATACAAAAACATTCAAAATCACAAACTATTTTTTGGAATAAGTAGATTGATTAATGATTACTTGGAATTTTCGAGATACAAAAACACACACCTACCGCTACATCATCAGAGATACAAAAACATCATATATTATTACTTGAAATTTTTAGTAATAAGTAGACTGATTTTAAAGTTTGAGTCGAGTCTCTCGACTTTATATGGTATATGTAAATCAAATATGAAAAAAATACGAATATATATATATATATATATATATATATATTGTATCTGGTTATAAAATACAATTTAAATTATAATCAAATAATGTCATAATATTATAAATATTTACAATTAAATTTAAATAGAAGCTTAAAAATTTGACTCGACTTAAATTTTATACACTCGATTCGAAAAATCCATTAAAAATAATTAAATTGAAAAAATTTGATATAGTGAGAGAGTAAAATAATTAAAAATCTAATGATTAAATTGAAAATAATTAAAAGTATAGTGAGTGAAATAGGAGAGAGAGTAAATTTTAGTGATTAAATTTATAATTTATCCATTAAAAATAAAATAAAAATCACGTCATAATGTCAATAGTGAGTAAACAATTGAATGACAAAAAATTTATTATATTAAATTCAATGATAAAATTAAAAATATTTAAAGTAAAGTGAATAGAATAGGAGAGAGTTTAAAATTGTATTTTACCCGCATACATATTATGAAAAGTTTTTTTTCTTAAAAATGGTATTTAAATTAATTATTCATCTTTAAATAAAAATAATTATATTCAAACATATTTAAACTCAAATCTATCCCATAAATTCACAATCCAACTAAGAATTAAGCAATGAATAAAGATTGTGCATTATCATTAGGCCCCGTTTGGTTTAAGGAATGTTGTATTATCGGGGGAATGAAATTCTCATTCCCTCGTTTGGTCCCATTTCCAGTAATCTTTTATTACTAATAGTGAAATTTTTGAAATATATTACCGGGAATGTGATTACCTCTTTTTTTAGGTATTGTTGGATTACCGACGTTTTGGACTAAAATACCCTTAATTTTTTTTTTTTCAAAAATATCATTCTTCTGTCATTGAATAATAAAAATTTTACGAATGTTAAATTAAAAATTTATCCTTAACCTATTTTATATTTACAAAAAAATTTATAATTAAAATTTTAAATGAAGTTCATGAGTTAAAATAAAATTTTACCCTTTCATTAAACTTATTTATTTTTTCAATTTTGTAAAAAAATTATATAAATTTTATGAATTTAAATTTTTTAAAGAAAATATATAAATTAATTATAGTAATATTATAATAGAATTTAACTTGTTAAAAAAATAAATATATAATAATAATAATTTAGTTAAATATACATTCTAATAATCTTTTATTCATTTAACCAAAACGGTAATCTTGCATTCCTGTAAAATCAACCAAACACAAAATATAACATTCTCCGTAATCATATTCCCTAATAATTATTTATTTCCACTCTACTTTTATATTTCATAAATCAAACGTATCCTTAGTGTTTTAAAGAAAGTCTTTGTGCAAAGAATGTCAAATCGAAGTAAAAGACATAGTAGACCAAGCAAATCAGTTGATCAGTTTCAAGCATCCCTAATTCCTAGGATGTTGAGCCCTAAATTAAGCCAACTTGCCCTACAACAACAGGGATTACGTCTGAAGATCCACCGGCCTTAACTTAAACTGCAATATTTATAGTCAAACAACAGTACTCCCCCTTCCAAATTCCCAAAAGAAAAACGCCCTTTGAAGCTTAAAAACACAACAAAATTTCGAGGTTTTGAATAGAAAGGGGAAGAACAGAAAACCCAATAAGAAATCACTATATTTTCGGATTCTGGATTTCACCCGGTATTTTTCTCAGGTTTTTAACTCTCTTTTGCTTTTCCAGTACGTTTTCTAATCCCCCTTGGACTAATCTAATATTGGGTTTTTGGAGAAATCGAGGGTTCTTTAAAGGAGACCTTTTTGTTGTTGATAAATCTAGATTGAGGGCAATCGAAGCTTTTTTTATATAATATTGATCTCATGGGACAGCAGTGTTATAACTGAAAATCTGTTCTTCTTATTGGATGTATCTTGTGTTTATCGAAGTGAACGATCGGCTTGTGAAATTGTCTGGCTTTCATCATCTGGATGATCTCAGGCCGTTGAAGCTACCCTTTGAAAAGAAATCGTTTTACTTTTGTATCCCAAGAGACAGATGGGATAAAGAGTTCTTCAAGCTTCAAGGCGGGTGATTATAATAATTTGAAGAATTGGTTGATTTTCGTAATATAATCGGTTTGGATATTTTTGAGATGGGTTCTCCTCAAGGCTCCACATTGACATCAGATATGACCGGCCTTGTCGATGGTTCGACTGCTTGCAGTGATGTTTCCTTCATCGATTGTTTGCCTGTTTATGTCAAAGAGCTAATAGCTGGTGGCGCTGCTGGTGCCATCGCTAAAACGACCATTGCACCTTTAGAACGGATTAAAATACTATTGCAGGTGAGAGCTAATTGATATAATCGATATCGCCTATATATGTTACTCTTGTGCTTGCTTGTTGTTTGTCAAGTTATGCATTTGTTGCTTACAATGGAGTTATGATTCTTTGTTTTGCAGACAAAGACTGATGGTTTCCAATCTCTTGGGGTGTATCAATCCTTAAGTAAGGTGCTAAAGCATGAAGGTGTTATGGGATTTTATAAGTAAGTTTGCAGATTATTTCACCATTTCCCTTTCTCTGATCTCCTTGAATGTTGGACTAATTCATGCCTATTTGGACCTGTAGAGGAAATGGAGCGAGTGTTATTCGGATCATTCCTTATGCAGCCTTGCATTTCATGACTTACGAGCAGTATCGAGGCTGGATGTTAGATAATTGTACTTTCTTTGGATCAGGGCCTCTTGTCGATCTTATAGCCGGTTCTTGTTCTGGAGGAACAGCAGTTTTGTGCACTTATCCCTTGGACTTGGCTCGCACTAAACTTGCCTATCAAGTAAGCAAATCTCCATAAGAATGGCATAGTTTCTTTTAAATCAATTCCATCTTTCAAACTTCAATCAAATCTGTTATTATATCGTGCAATTACTGATTCTTTAATGAATTAATCTATTAGATCTTTCTCATTGGCTTTTTTGGTTTATAACAGGTTGTTGACACCAGGACAAAATTCAGCTCTGGTATGACAAGTTTATATACTCGACCGGCATATAGTGGCATAAGAGATGTACTGACAACTGTTTACAAGGAAGGAGGAATACGCGGATTATATCGAGGTGTAGGTATGTAGTACGCAGTTGTTTCTAATGGCTTCATGGTACAACTTAGAATGAATACATTTGACAATGGCTTCAAGTTCTTCACATTATTCTTGTTGTAACCGGCACGGCCATTCTTATTCTCCTGTTTAGAGTATCTTCAGTTTTTCATGGTAATGGAGATTTTCAGTAGTTCAACTTGCAATCTTGAAGTTCTTTTTAGTGTAGTTTCAATGTGCATTTACTTTCTTTGTTAGATGTGCTTGGACTTGATCAAACTTTTTGCTTCCATAGGTCCAACACTGGCTGGGATCCTCCCTTACGCCGGTCTAAAGTTCTACATCTACGAGGTAATAAAGACTCGTGTTTCCGAAGAGCACCGTAAGTCCATTGTGATGAATCTCTCTTGTGGAGCAATAGCTGGATTACTTGGCCAGACCTTCACGTATCCATTAGATGTTGTAAGGAGACAGATGCAGGTATTGTGCAACAAAAGCTACACACGTACTTGATGATGCTAGATACATGTAAAAACAACCTGGTTAAAACCGGTTTTTAAGCAGTCTGATTCAACCTTTCAAAAATTCGCCATAGTCTCGATTAATACATCCTGCATGTAATTGTTTGACATGTTACCCTACAGGTTGGAAGTCTTCAGTCTTCATCGATTCAAGGCGGTACACGATATAGAAACACATATGATGGTCTTACTACGATCGTCCGTAATCAAGGATGGAGACAATTGTTTGCAGGCTTGAGCATTAATTACATCAAGGTATTTTATATACTCCACAATGATATCAAGCATAGCTACTAGTTTTTCATTCTAACAGTGTGAATGATGATTTGGTTGTCAGATTGTTCCTTCAGTAGCTGTTGGATTCGCCGCATACGACACGATGAAGGTTTGGCTCCGGATTCCACCCCGACAGAAATCGCAGGCAGCGTCGTCTGGATAAAGAGAGATGGATTTATAATGGGTTGCAACCGAAATCTGAAAACAGGACTTCCTGCTAGTATTGTATAAAGACACAAATCTTTGGCAACAGAAAAACTAGTTCCACAAATTCATTGTGATTAATCGTTATGTTCTTTTTTTTATCATTAAAGGTACATAGGAGTTTGGGGGCCACGGCTTCAACAGGTCCCCTCATCTCACCTGTAAATCTCACATCACCCCCATTGTCACCTTCAATCAAATAACTAACTCGCTTACTCATTCAACTTTTATTTTATTTTATTTTTTGATCACCCAATTTTCAAATTTCATTTTCTGGTCACTTAACCTTGTATGATAGCACTACCAAAAACACTTTATTTTGGACATTTTCATTTATGAAATTAACATAACGTTTTTAAATTTCCTCTTTCTTATGGCCAGAATCATTTTCACCGTTGGTCGTTGTTTATGATGTAATTAGTACTAAAATTGTTTATATTTCTTTCCTCTTTCTTCTTCTCATTCTAGTTTTCCTCAAAATCCTCTCTAAATTGATGAAATTCAAATAAAAGTTTCGTTTTTTATCTTAGTTCTATCTGTAATTTTTACCGTATGATCATTGTGAAATTGAGCTTCATTGCTCCCCCTTCCTTGATATCTCGACCGTTCGGATTTAGAAGAAAATATTTTGACGTTGGTGAATAAGAAGAAATCTAAAAATATGAGTTTGAGAAGAAAAAAATATGATGTTTTTGCATAAGTTTTATATAAAAAAAACATATTCGACAAATGGCTGAGTGATAACAAATAAATTTTGAAAAATAAGTAAAAAAAATAAAAATGAGTGATCGAAATAGAAATAAAACACAAAATTAAGTGACCTAGTACGTAGTTTATAAAAAACATAAACAAAGGGTGTAAATAAATAAAATGAAAAACAAACAAAGCCTAAGACCCATGATTGGGCTGCATGTTTTTCATATTATATGGTTAATGGATGTCTATCAAACATATAATGGCGAAGGCATTGCAAGCAGGTGGCAGCAATAAATTGCCCTTAAAAGATTTCCCATCCATTAACAATGCCTAGTGATGTTAAGCATGACGATAACTTCTTCACGTATAATCTCGTGTAGGTCATGCTACATATAATCTGGTCTAGGTCATTTGAGCCCTAGACAAATTTGTTGTTGAGGAGGTGTTCTGGTAGTTGTTAATGTCCTCCCATTTTCCATACTTTTAAATAGTGTAGTGTAATTATAAGATAGTATTAGTTCAAAATCTTTCTTAACTATTAATATCACGCACACATCTTGCAGACACAACTGTTCGAATCTCGGATCTCTATAGGGAACAACATTTTCTTTAATCACTGAAGTTGATTAATGGGTTCCCAATTTGTAGAATTTCTTGAGTAATTAGTGTGATTGTAAGATAGTATCTGTTTAGAATCTTTCTTAGTCATTATTAACAATGCACGCTCGTAGACGTAAATGTTCGAATCCAAAACCTCTAAGAGAATAATATTCTCTTTAACTACCGAAATCAGGTTCCGATTTAGTCAAATGTCAAATGAAATAATGCAACTCCAATCAAAACTTAGGCTTTCCTTCCTCTCAAGAAATGAATGGGGCCTCTCTTTCTGCACTTACGGTGAACGTAAGTTTACCACACGAAAATATTCATGATAATGTTTCAAGTGGAAGCAATAGTGGCCAGCTAATTCATACATGATCATACCCCCTCCATTAATGTGAAAATAATAATAATAAGGGGGATGAAGTCCAAATGAATTGAAAATTAGGGGTCCAAATAAGTATATATCTCAATATATTTTTTAATAAAAATTTGGAGAGATATATTCCATAGATGCGGTTGTTTAAATTCAGAATTTTGTAAGTAAAATAATGTATTTTTTTACTATTAAGATTACTTGAGTGGTTCGATATTTTAGAGATTCGTAAATTATAACAAAAATGATTTTCTTCCATCAATAATTTAACATTCAGGAGATGAACTCATGAACACCATTTTTACCGGCCACCATCAACGGTGCAGCTCTTTTAGCGGGACTACCAACTTCATGAATCATGATGGGTGGGAATGGGACCCAATTCTTCATCACCAACCGTTGCGAACAGGATGACAATCCACGTGGAATGCTTCGATTGGATCCACGTAAGATTCCAAAAGGGTTGGTTGGCCCCGCATTATTCGTCCTCCCCCGGTTAAGACCATCCAATCTCCATGCCTGAAGGAAAGCGAAAAGGAGCTTCCACGTGGCAATAATGAAGTCCATGATGATAGAGATCATAATTTGTATACGATGATAATGTCTGGGAGTGGAACCCGCTGTTCACACCTTCCCCCTCCCATGAGTGTTCCTCCACGTCAGCCCTCTTTCTCTAATTAAAAATATGACAAGATGGTACCTGAAGTTTCTTTAACTTAAAAAAAAAATCAATGGTAATATTTTTTTCTCAATGTAGCATGGAATTAAAAAAAAATTGATGTGGTTCTTTGACTAACATTTTTTATCATTAACTAAAATTAGTGTAAGTCATTCGTCATTAAGATATTCTAAGTCAACTATAAATTTCTACAAAAATCATCTTCATGATTCTTTTCCTTCCTCTTCAACAGTTATTCATGTAACCGAAAATTGATTATTTCCATCTCTACCAACAGCCACAAGCAGTATTTTATTCGTACAAGATTTGAGAAAGCATTCATGTCATTAGGAATTATCGGAGTTGTTGCTCAATGACAAAAAATATTGGTCAAAAGATCACGTTGTATTTTTTTAAGTGAATGATCACATTAATAGAAAAATTATACTATGGTTATATTTGATTTTTTTTAAGTTCATGGATTTTGCATACCATTTTTCCTAAAATTATTTATGTATTCGTTGTATAAAAGTATATAATTTTCAAAAGGAACCATAAAAAATGGAACACTTGCTAAGTTGCCCTAAGAGTTTGGCTTAATAGTACATATTATTATATCACACTGATAACTGATTTTATTACTATTGAAATACAAAAAATTCTACGGCGCACGTCTCATACCATAATATATTACTAAAGCAACGTATCGAAATATAACACTAGTTAAATTGTTTTTACTAAATAATTATTAAAAATGATAAATTATATAGTATTATACCTAAATTATCATTTTTTTTAAATTTTAGTATTTAAATTTTATTTTTTAAAAATCATTGGCGGTAATGCTTATGTGGCATGACATGCCATTTTTTATTTTTTAATTACCACGTCACATTTTTTTTATTTGTCAGTATTTTTTAATTAATTTTATTCAACCAATTAAAAAATACTGGCGAAAAAATAAAAAATGATGAGAAAATAAAAAAAAAATTGACATGTCATGTTACATCACATTATCGTTAATGGTTTTGAAAAAAAATAAAATTTAGATACTAAAACGAAATAAAAATGATAGTGTAAGTACTAAGCGTATAATTTATTCTTTTAATATTTATGTAATAAAGACAATCTAACTAATTATAAGTTTCGATACGGAACTTTAACTATATGTTACGGCGTGCGATGTGTGTCGTAGACTCATCCATTAAAATACATCATACATAGGATATAATTATACAAAGATTTAAAATAAGAGTAGATAAATAAAATAATCAAATAAATACTAGCTAAAAGGCGATAAAATTTTATGAAAATATCTAGCACTAACATATTTTATAAAGTAATTTACATCCTAATCCTTATAAAATAGTAGTCAAATGGAATTCGAAAATGATATTTTTCACTTAATTTAAGACTAAAAAATCTATGAAAAATCTTGTCACAAGAATCTATATGTTTTTAGAACAACGATACTCTTGTCATATTCAATCCCGATATTAAAACAAAATTATAAAACACATGTTCTCATGCATAAGCACATGTGTAAATCAATATTACATATAAAAAAAATATAAGTTCTAAATATTAAAAAATATGTATTCAGTATTTCATTAACTCAACTGTTTCACTTTTAATTGTTAATTTTAATACATGTATAAATATCTATTTTTTTTAAAAAAACATTAAAATTCTTATTAAAGTATAAATTTTATTTATTTCAAATCAATACGAATATTAGTTAAAAAAAAAAAAAGCGGTTCCCCAAGTTTTCTCTGCTGCAGTTACAAACCTATTAACCGGTTTCCCCACATTTTCCATCAATGATAACGGTGGCGGTCTCTCCTCCGACCACTTCCTTGTCTTTTTTCTTCTATTGTTGTTCGATTTTCTTAATTTTCAGGCATATTTTTATTTATTTATAATAATGTTTCTCTTGAAATTTTTTCTAATAAAGGTTATCATGGTTTCCAGTGTTTTTAGACTCTCGATTCAAATTTATTCCTTTGGTTCGCTTCTTGGTCTATGGTTCTTGGAGATTTCATGGTTGCTTGCTTTTCCGATGTCTGGTTCCTATGTTTGTTTGTATATGACATTTTGTTGGTTCTCGGACATTTGTGTTAGATGAAAACTGTGATTAAAGGAAGATTTGTTTTTCATTCGTTCACTTTGAATATTCTTCAAGTTTTCTACTCTCTGTCTGATGTTTTAGGAAGTCGGAGCGATACATCTTTATATGTCATTGGCTCAGTTGTTCAAGATCTTGCTCATCGGGCTATCAATGATCGATCACCAATCTATTTTACTTTTGATAAACTTTAATGTATTTGTCTTGTATGCATGTGGCAAGACGTTTGTTGATGTTGTTTTAGTTGGCCAATGAATATATTATAGTTTTACTTTTAAAAAAATCATTTTGCCTTGGTACATTAATTTACACATTTTAAAAAGGAAAATTTAGTACATGATTTTTTAAATGTTTTTGAAGGGTTTATATTTTGGGATTAATATTCATTTTTAGCATTAATAAATAGATTCCGTGATAAAGGAATTGTTCTTATTTCTAAGGATTCGAGTTTGAGCACCATAGATGTAAGGGAAAAAATTAGTGAAATTATGGTATTCAACCCTAAACAATAATGAACTTGGGATCTAGTCCATATATTTTGATATGATACAAGTTGATTCTCCTAGTATTATTAATATTCCTTACATTATTATTTGCCCAATTCTCCTCCACCCCACAAGTCCCATGATCCCAAGCCATAAAGAGAATCTATATAAAACAGTACTTTATGATGTAAGCAAAGCATTGCTGCCGTCTTCTCTCTTTTATATTTAACCTTCATTGACACTCCATTACCTTAAATCACAATTAATTAAAAAAAATACTTGCTCTAGTAACATTGGTGCAGCTTTAATCTTCCACCACCATGAGCAGCCCCAACGCAGGCGGCGGCGGCGGCCTTTCGATAGACGAGGAGGAGACGGTGGAGACACGGATCCGGAGACTGATATCCGAGCACCCACTCATCATCTTCAGCCGATCATCTTGTTGCATGTGCCATGTCATGAAGAAGCTCCTGGCCACCATCGGTGTTCACCCTACCGTCATCGAACTCGACGACCACGAGTTTGTTTCCCTCCCTGTACCCTCTTCTCACGGCGGCCTCTCCTCCCGGAATCTATCTCCCGCCGTCTTCATTGGCGGAACCTGCGTCGGCGGACTCGAATCCCTCGTCGCTCTCCACCTTGGTGGCCACCTCATCCCAAAGCTCGTCGAAGTTGGCGTTCTCTGTGTATGATATATATATATATAATCATAATAGTATTGAAAATAATATAAATCAATCTGCCATTTCCAAAAGAGAAGTAAATTCCTGCTTCTTCCTTCCTTTGCTTATCTTTTGTTTCTTTCCCTATTAGCTTCAAAGGTCAAAGTTAGGGAATTGTAGTAATCAAGTGAATTGAGTGAGATTGTAGTATGTGTTTATCTTCCCTTGTTCAGTAATCATATTATAAACCGATGTCGAACTCTTAATTATTTTCTTCATTCATAACGTCAGAATCTGAGATATCGAACTCTTGAAGCAATGGGCGGAATTGGTGGGGTAATTGAAGTGGGATTCATTGCCAATTATGGAGCAATCAGAGCCGTCGAAATTTGTTGTTTGTTAGGTTGCAGATGAAGAAAAGGAATGGTCGATAGTGTGGTTTGGGCTTTCCATTTTTGGATAAAGGATGCTTCTGTGGTGCTTTTTCATGACAATGACGGGCCACAAATTCCAATTGTTGTTAGGGTAGATTACACCAATGGTTACTTAACTTTTAGGGTTCTTTCACTTTAGTTGCAAAACTTTTAAAATTTGTATTATAATCAATAAAAGTTTAATTCACTTTCATTACGATCAAATCTATTAGTTGACGTGACATGTTAAAGGTCAATTTTCTGATGAAAGAAGAACTCGTCAATCAATTTCAACGGTGTGAAGATTTCATTTAGTCAGAAGATTAATATAGTTCGATTTCAAATTGATATGATAATTGAAAATGGTATATTGAAGAGTTTTAACTTTTAGTTTCGAGTAAGGATTGACGATATTGAAGGTTTCTCGATGAATTTGAACAAAGAGAAAGTAAGAGAAGGATAAGAAGAAGAATTCGATGATCTTTTTGATCGGAGAACCATCAAAGGATGATGAAATGAGGAGCGGGGGTTGCATTTTTAGTGCTAGATCCCACCATAAACTAAACTTTCATATCTCTTAATATCTTATTTGCATTTGTACATTTGGGTGTTGTTGAGACGAGCAATTCTTGATTACTAGTAATTAATTCTTACTAGTAATTAATAAAGAATGGGGAAAGTGGGAATCTCATTGTTAATGGCCCAACCTTACTCTAAACGACAATTAATGTGACATATATGTATGTACTCAAATGTACATTTCATTTGTATCATCTTTCATGGTGGGTAGTGGAAATTAAAAAGAAATCAATCCGAATATTATATGCATCTTTCCAACTTTAGAAAAAAAATAAGGATTGATGAATTGGGGTTATATATATATATATATGTGTGTGTGTGAAGTAATCATTGATATATGATATATTGATTGACTAATCGATATCAGATACTATAGAGACAAAGTCGACTCTCCCAATAATACATACTATTAATTTGTAAATTCCATAGGGTTTGGGAAAAAGTGCAACTCATGAGAGGAACAACCATGAAATATCAAGCACATACCAAGAGTGGGGTGTTAATTTGGAAACGTTTTACTTTAATATAGGATCTCTTTTACGATTCTGCCAATAAATAACACTTTGTGGAATGGAATTAATCGTAAAAACCAAGTTTGGATCTTTGGAATTTTTTAAGTAAATATTTGAAGTGGAAGAAATGAGAGATGGGCAACCCAAGTACCCACTCAAAGGCCCCTTAATGGTGTTGCCTTTTGTCTAGGTCTAAAAGTAGGGGGTAAAGCATCTTTAATTGACTTTTACCCTTTTTCTTTGATGGGTGAGGTCATGGGGTTTTTTTTTTTTTGACTTCTTTATGGGGTCTCCCACTTGTATACATGCATACATGTATGAATGAATGAATTTTCCATAAGTTAAACTGGAAGCAGTAAGTACTGAAACAAAGCAAACAAATTCTTGTTGTATTAGGACAAATTCATGTTACACTGGCTTTATCACCGGAATGGTCGCACTGACCGATGCCGAACCGATGTCCATGGCTGTAATCCTGAATCTCATTCTACTCTAATTCTCTGTTCAAAAAGAAGTTTGTCAAAAAAATGGCTTTCGATTCTACAATCCACCCCAATCCATGAATTTCTTCACCTCATCATACAGAACCAAGATGGCTGCGGCACCAGTGCTCCTAAAAATGTTAGATAGTGCCCCACGGTAAAAAGAAGTCACCCCTTCGGTTCTATAAATCGTCCTCCAGCAGTCCAGAGTGCCGTGGTACATTGGTTGTTCTAAACCGGATTGCATCATCATCCGCCTCCTAACTGTATCAAGTGGATATGACAACAATCCAGCAGATGTTGTCACAGCCTGCGCAGCCACCCAACGTTTCCATAATGCCAACTCGGTCTTGGATTGTTCTGACATAGTTTCCTTTATTGTATCAAATCCTCCAAAATACAGACTCCGATGAACAATCATCCCATGTAGGGAAGCAGGAAGACCCCTGTAAATTCCCCGAAATCCATCCTTTCTGCGTATGGTGCTCAAGAAATGGTAGATGCCTCTGAATTGACGAACATCGGTTCTTCCAATGTCTGCAGCAAGGCGGGTGTGAGCAATGTCAAGAGGGTAAATCAAGATCAATGTTGTGCAACCAGCTGCAGCTCCGGCAATGAAGTTGGCAGATGCTCCAGAGAAAACATGATCATCTCCATAATTTCTCAATATATTTTTATACAGGTCCTGCATAAAGAGATGCAAGGTGAGTAAAATGATAACCACATGGAGATGTATGTATACTCGGAATCCTATTAAAAACCTCGGGAAAAAAGTTATATATACATAAAAGGCACAGATAATTCTCTACCATCTCATAAATCCTACACATTCGACCGACAAGTTTAAAAACGAGAGACCTCCTAGTTTAGGAGAATCCCCTAGGAACTTTCAAGTTTTCTTACCATTATGTAAGATTTTATCTGAACTGAAATAGAATGTTCTCGACTTGTTTCAACAGCATCTATCGAGTGATTTCATTGAACTTTTCACTGATGTATGCCAAGGAAAATTCATCTAGCCTATTCCTTATAAAAGAAACAGGCAAACTAGGCACAAGCGTGCACATACATGTAGAAGAAGCTTCAGCTTAGGTTCTAATTCGATGACAACTTTCAATTTTATTCCTACAACGTTATTATAATCAATAGTACTATGCCTAGTTCTTCAACATTATGTACAACTTCATACAACTTTCAATTTTTTTGTTCATGTTGGGGGTGGCTCCCTGGTTGTATTGTGTTCTTTCTATGGTTAATAAAATCTTAAGGCACTCTTTTCCTCCTTCCGCTGATTAAGGAGCTTCTATATAAGCTCCTTTAATCATGAAGGAGGTTTTTAACGAGGCCTGCAATTCCTATAAAAAAAATGTACACCTTTCCAGGTGGAATAGGAATAATCATGAAAAAAGAATTTTTCAAGTTCAAAAAGCTTTCTTTCTTTAGATTACATTCAAATCTCAGCCACACTCTTTATTATATGCTCCTATACCATATGACGAGGCCAACACAGTAAATCACCATATTAAGTTTAGCCAAACATGGAGTACAAAGGCTCCTTGTGCTATCCTAAACTAGCTGGTTAATGCCCCCTATTAGGACTACAACTCTAGCAAACTCAGTAAACGAGATATGCATTATGGATTAAACTCCATCTATTTCTCTTGACAAAGAAGTTATATTCTCCAAATCCTACCCGGGTTCTATGAGTAAAGTCTATCAAATTAACAATTATCTAAGATAATTAAACAAGATGAGGACTGCTCACTTCACAGCATGCCTTCCAAATGACGGGTATACTTAGTCAAAGTCATAAATATTCTATTTAGATCGATTAAAACCAAAAGTTCTGCATGCCAAAAACATAAGGAGAATGAAAAGCCTAATCTTAAGGGAAATTTGAAACATTAGCAAGAAAGCACCCTATGGTGGTTGATATAAGGTTGAACAATAGGAATGAGACTAAACAGAATGCCATAAAGATTTGTAGTCTAATCAAAGGCGATATTGGAGCTGATTCCGTAAGGGACACCGGAATATTTTGCAGATAAAAATGACCAAAACCAACTATACCAACAGCACTTGAGAAGAAGATATTTTCCAAGGACAAGGTGCCAGCTTCCCTTAGGAGTTCATCACAGCTAATAGGATTCTTGGACAAAAAGATCGGCATGACCGCATTAATTACCATTCAAACATATCAAACCAAAGAGAGCATGCAATGAGTATACCAGCATCCCATGTAATGAAAATAACATCACAGGAGCTCAAAGAGACCTTTTATCATTCATTTCACGTGCATGGGATATATCCTTCTCAAGAACACCACAACCAATTTATGAATAACATTTCCCCCAAGACGAAAGCAACCATCTTGAAAACCACCCGTTTGATTCACTCTAAATATCCCAAATAGAAAATCACATGTTTCAATTCACTGCATACCAAGAACCAATATAAAGAAAGGGAAAGATTACAAATGTGCAAAAAAAAATGGTTACCTTGAGCGAGAAATTAAGAGCAACAGAAGGGTAATATCTGAGAACGCTACTCCCATTGCCTCTCCATAAAGAAAGAACGCCTTCTTCTCTAACGGTACGGAAGATACAATCGAACATCCCTTTGAATTTCCTCCTCCCACTTCCCGCGAAAGCCAAATTGCTGTCTTGGGTCTGAAGCAACAGCTTCGCCCTCTCAATCGGTGCCACGATCGTGTGCACCACGCCGCCCATCACCGCTCCCGCCAACAGATCACGGTGGAAGCTCGCCAGCCATTCGTACGGCCCCGACGCCGGTTTTAACCCTCCTCCTTCACCCCTGTTTTCTTCCTCGTCGTATTCTTCACTCATAACTTCGAAAGACCCAAAGTCTGCTTTCACTTCAAGAAAGTAAGGAAAGAAAAGAAACCCTTTTTTCTTCTACTAAGCAGAAAGGGTGGGAAGACAACTGTGGGCTAAAACGATTGAATAAGCATCGTCTACTAATGAGATCATAGAAAACTGCTCTATTTATATATAACAGAGTTCTAGATGCTCTCTCGTTAGCTATATTTGTGGGTGAGCTTTCTTATGTAATGTTCGTCCCTCATCTACCACCGTGTCCCCAAAATGAAAAATAACAAAATTTGTCCTAGGCGGTTCATTTCCCAATACGATTGTTCGATCAGGACCAACTTAGGTTTTCTCCTTCTTTTATATAATTTTTTTCTCAGTTTTGTTTGATTGAGATTATGCATTAGAATTGATTAAGGTTCAACAAGCCTTCTATATTTTGCCAAGTGTTACCCTAATCCTCTTATTTATGATCCATGGGAAGAACCATGGATTTCTTAAATTGTATATTTTGACTTTAAAATTCGGCCGTTTAGGAAAAGGTAAGATTTAAAAGTTTGTAATCATATTTGGTGTTGAATAAATTTAGAGTTGAATCAAATCAGATGCAAATGAAAAAAAAAGATAGATTCTCTTAAAAATCGGGTTTTTTTACACGAAATTCGAATTCGATACTAACACCTAGCTGAATGAAAATGGTGTGATTTCAATTGAGATATGGCTTTCTTCTTTTTGTGGAAGAAACTATTTGAGCTTTCTTCATACTCCAAGCATTGAGGGTTGAAATATTGACATCAAAAGTGCCATTATTGAATGCATATAGGTGGGCTTGGTTATCAATGGCCAACTTGGGGTAAACTCTAGCAGTTATGCAAGCTCTTCCTTCCCCACCGAAGCTCTCCACGATCGAATGATCTATCTTCAATTTCAGAATCCGAATGTATCAGTCTAGAGAAAAACTTCAAAATGTTCGAAACGAAGCGTTAAAAGCAGATGAACATACGAGAATTCTCAGAGAAATCTTCTCATGAAGAGGGTCTATGTCGATGAAAGCTCCATAAGTTTCTTTCTTTAGTCCTTCCCTTGGAGATGACCTGCTCTGATCACTACACATGAGCACAACATACTCGTCGTTGCTTCTGAAAACGCAAAAGAAGATTGCGGTTCGCTCCGTCAAGTCTTTCGATGCGAAAGCCAGTATTCCGAACGGTCCGTAATTGCCTCGAACAGATGCTGTCTTTTGACTACAGAGCAGTTGAGGATCCATTGAACTCGGATCCATTAATTCGGTCTCCTTTAAGTTGGATAAGTCGAAGGACACTTCGACATCGGCCTTTAGCAACATAAAAGCAATGGGACTAACTTAATCTTTCATCCATAACTGATTCCTGAATATTAATCACAATTGAGAAATATAGCCATACCTGAGAAGCTGTAATGCCTGAGACTTCAAGTACAGATCCACCCTTGAGTTCCTTGTTCTCCAAGCTGACATTTTCGGTACGCTGCTTCTCGATCTCTTCCACTGGCCATTGAATCAATGGCTTACCAGTTATACTAAGCACAATGCTTCGAGGAATCGACTGAAAATAAATATCGGTTTTGTTAGAAAACTAAAAAATCTTCTATCTAAACCACTTGCAGTTGCAATCATATTATGTTTCAAAACTTACCTTACCTGAAGACCAGACCAACCTTTCTCTACGTCATCTGTTGTACTGTTGGACTCTAGTATCCATCCCCACAAGATCCTTCTCTTCTTGTCACTATCGAAAAATGTCTTAGAAGCATAGAACTTACCATAATCATATCGTAAATCCTAACCATTCTTCAAGAAATCAGTATCAACCGAAAAGTTATCTGTCACGGGCATGTAGTTTCCTAATATGTAGTGATCGCTGTCGTTGAAGCTTGCCTTGAGAACATGTTTTGTCGATCCATCGAGCGAAGATGTGTCAACTCCATTGTTACCATCGATCGAAACCGGGTAGAAATCAGGACATTCCCACATCCCAGTCCTTGTGGACGAGTGAAGAGGCTCTTTACTCCTAGTCCATGTAACAAAATCTCGGCTTCAATATAGTATCCCCCATCCATGGCCATCCATTTGGTTCCCGACCAAGACTCTCCATAATCCATCAGGGCTTTGCCAAGCTGTAGTCTGATCCCTAACGAACTTGAGGTCAATACCATCAACAGGGGTCATTAGAGGATTATGAGATGATTTCACCCATTCTATTAACAAAGGATCAGATAGGTTCTTAGGCTCGGTCAAGTTCTGAACTTGACGGTTCATGGTATCACTCCCGGTGTATAAAATAGCAGGCTTTTCGCCCGAAAGGAACGTGGTCGAGCCGGACCAGCAACCGTTGATATCGAACAGATGATCAGGAGAAAGTGCATTATCAAGATGAATCCAGTTGACAAGATCATATGATATGGAATGGGCCCATGTTATGTTGCCCCATACTGCAGCATTAGGGTTATATTGATAGAACAGATTGTAAACTCCCTTGTAATACATTCCACAAGATTTATATCAAGAATTTCCGCATCTGAAGACCTTACAATTAGGATCTGCAGTGCCATAAGTTCTCCCATCTAAAGACCATCATTACATGTCAAAACACACACAAAAACCAAAGCAAAAGTCAACAGAACTGGGGTTAAAAGACTGTAGATCGAATGGTCGCGTGAGTGAAGCAAACCGTTCATCCAGTTGTTGGGAGGCTGAAAGTGGTAAGCAGTCCTATAAGGCTGCTGCTCCATTGACAGAGATTGAATTCTTCCATTTCCAAACGACAAACAGAAGAAGCAAATGACAAAAACAGCAGATATCTTCTTCATCGTGAACTTCAGCTTCAGGTCAGCCATCAATGGCACTTCCCCATCTGTTTCCCGGTATTTCAGGGTCAAATGAATTTGAATAATCTTATTAATGCAACTTGTCCAATTGAATTTGTGGTTAGTTTATATAATTGAAAACATAAAATACTAATTACTCAACAAGAGGACACGTGATCCATATAGTTTTGACCCTTGTGGTAGGTTTCTTTATAGTTTTGTTTCTTCACCGGCCCTCGAACCATGTCGGGTTTATATGGCTCAAGCACCACTAACCACCAAGGTCCTAAAGAGACCAGTTATATAATTTACCCAAAAGTTTAAGGCAAATTATTATTTTTATTCCAGGGTCAGATATATCATTAGGCAAAAGATATTTGGTGTGGCATCCCATGCTCATTTCATGCAATTTCAGGCAAAAGGGACTGTCGGCGAAAGGAACAAAAAGGGTTAGAACCAAAATTGAAAGGCCCTAGTCCCTGCCCATTGCCTTTCAGTGTTGACCTTTACATTCCCTTCTTTTTCTTTCTTCTTTTTTACTTAAAAATGATAATAAAATATTAATAGTAAACTTTTTATCCAATTTATAACATCAAAACCCTCAAAGGCCCAACAAATATATAAAAGAACAGTCCAAATAGAAAAGGCCCAATAATTTACTTAAGAAATTAGATATCTAAAACCATCGAGAGGGGATAAACAAACCGCACACATCATTATTCGTATCTATCATTAATAAATGAACATAGAATATTTGTCTATATTAATTTATTTAATTTAATAAACGAACAATTCATCAAATGTCTTGTTCGTTTACCATCATAATTAAACTAAACATTGACAGTGCAATAAAAACAAGTACAACCATAACAACACATGTTATTCTAAACACAAATAGGACTCGGATCGCACGTAGGCTAAACCAGAAAGTCTGGACACGTTCAATCATGTAGACAAAATGTGATTATAAGATAATATCTGTTTAGAATATTTTTTTAGTTATTAAGAACGCATATACATCATTGTTCCATTTCTTTCATCATTCCATTCTCAGGCTATCGCGTTTCTTTTCCAACCCTAATTCATTGTATGTATGTATGTATGACGTACACAAACACACATGATTTCAAACAAGTGTGGCATGACAGTAGTTAGCCGAGTGGGTCTTGAACCATGTGGATAACTTGGTCCACACACTGCCTGAATCTAATTGAAACCGCAGCTCTTGCCTTAACCCTAGCTAGGGTCGAAAACCCGGAAAGATTAACCCAAATAATATGTGCGGACAATCCGACACAAGGGAACGGACGAGCGCAATCCTGAAAATTTGAAATTTTTATATATTTAAAATTTTCTTTTTGTTGATAATATATTTTCACTATGTGGAGGAATTAGGTGATGGAATTTGGGGGTCAACTTAAAACTTTAAAAAATTAGAGGTTTACATTAAAAATTTTAAAGATTTTGAAGGGTTTAGTTTATATTTTTCCAAAAAAATTATGGTTTAACTAAGATTTTTAGAGGCTTAATGAGATTCTTTTTTAAGTTATGGAGGGGATTTAATTATGAACATACAAAAATTATAAAGTTTAATATGAATTTTTAAAAGTTTTGGGAGAACCAAATTAAATTTTTAAAAAACTTTAAGGTCTAAATTATATTTTTAAAATTTTGGGGGCCATGACTCTCACGGACCCCTCTAGTGGTCGTCATTGTTTTCACTCCTAAAGTTTTATAAATTTACTATTCCTAAAGTTTTATAAATTTGACTTTTAACGTAAAATCATGTGTTGATTGATATTTAATATCCAACTGAAATGCTACACATAATTTTTTTTATTTATTAATTTGTGGTAAGTATAAACTAGCAAATGTTCAAAAATAACTCTCAATCATTTGATATTAAATACTCATATTCCGAGTATTCTTAATGTTCGAACCTAAAATCTCAAAAAAAATAATAATAATTTTTTTAATAACTAAGATCATTTGATTCGTGTAAATATTACACATAAGATGATTTATACGATTTATAAGAGAGGCTGTTGACTAAACCCTATACATAAGTATCCAGGACTGGAAACCCAATTAATAGTTTCCATAAGCTGTAGGAGTGTGACACTTCGAAAATATCTCACGTCAAATGTCTGTCGATATATATATTCCCTTCCATTATTTATAGTCATTTAATACAATAAAAGTTTATAAAGCCTGATCTCTTTCCCGGAAATTCGTAAAAAATATTCATATTTTATAATTATTA